TCGTGTGTAAGACTCATATTTGGATACAGTAAGTGAGTTTAGCCGCTTTTGGCAAGCGGAGTTTTGGAATTCTTGAGTGTCTTGGTGCAAAAACTACCAGAACTTTTCATTTCGTGGCTGAAATCAATTGATTCTTTTTCAGTTTTGTTGGCAGTTTCATAGTTTCTGTGCTTACCGGGCACCCTGTATAACTTTACGCTTTTATTGCGCTTTGAGTCAAAAAATAAAAAACTAATGTACGTCTTAGAATCCTCACACCAAAACCGCAAGCATCGGTAAGCGAGCAGAAGACGGAAAACAACGATGGACACCAAGATCCTCAGATTTAAGTGCTCCTGATTTTTTGCTTTTGGAAATATTTCAAGTGCTTTGTTTGCAAAGCACCAGTGGAAAACGTGTAGGAAGCTGCTCATAAATACGCAAAAAGAAATTTTCGGATATTTTAGAACTTTGATCGCTTAGCTCGATCACTCTTTATCTGATTCCTCGTTTGATTTTTTCTGTCACTGTTGTTTTCTTGTGCATTTTCTCAAAAAATTATCGTACAGCTTTCAAAATGTTGTGCTTATTAGTAGTGGTTTAGCCAGACTTCGCGTCCACAGTTCTGCATGCTTCTTTTCTTCGTCAGTTCTTCTCCATTACCTTCGTTATTTCTTTTAATTACTGTGTTAATTCCTGTTAATTGCCTGGTGTTTTTTGCGTGTTGTACTTGCAAATTTCTTATTTTCTTTCCACCAACAGAAATTGACTGCCTTCAAGACTGGCAAGAGGGAAGGAAAGGTTCTGTTCTTCGCCAACATTTTCAGAGCGTTCAGAACACCGACATTGAATCACCACAGTTTTTTGATCAAATTAAAAGGTTCATCGGGAACTTTTTTCGAAAAAGGTCCTTATTTTGCGCAAATTGGGTCGATAACTTACCTATAAACGATAAGAATCCTCAAGTTCAATGCAGCCAATAAGACAACTGGCACCACTTTATACACAATCTCCAATCCCACTTTGTAAATACTGTAGACTGGATGTGAAATGTAGGCAGTGTTTTCAGTTCTTTGATATATCAGATAGTTTTCCGGTGTTAGCATGCAGGTCTTCACGTAGCTGCGAAACACCACCGGAATGTACAGAATAAATGTGATGATCGGGATGAGCGTGACCGCTCGAATCGGGGATCCTAAGATGGGACGAGCGTGACCTGGATGACACACACTAACATAACGTTCCAAAGTGAGGGCCAGCAGCATCATTACGCCAATACCAAGACATCCATT